TATTAGTATGATTTCATAAGTGTTTATTCTCATTGATTGCTTTGGGTTGCTGCACTTAAAGTTATTATGTCACTTTAACAGAAACAGATGCTGATAAGTTTTAAGTGCAGATACATATAGCAGCTTTCAGTCTGCCTGCTCTGTCCAAATGCTGGGTCATTCTGATCGGACAAAACTACTGCACTTCTTAGTGTCAACCAGTGGCGGAACAATCGCCATAGCGACCCAGGCGGCTGCTATGGGGCCCGGGAGCACTGGTGGGCCCGGCCAGGACATCCCCTTGATGCTGTGCGGGCCGCCTGGGTCGCTATGGCATCTCGGGCTGCTGGCTGTCACTGTCAGGTGGGCTGTTTGAGTTATCAGGTGGGCCTAACTAGAAATCAAAGGGCCCCATACAAAATTTTGCTTTTAGTTACGCCCCCTGGTGTCAACGCTTGTCTGCCCCTCCCACCTTTTTCATTCCTGATGAGTCTGAGTCACTATAAGAATTACAAATTCTTTATTGAACATGGCTGCCTTGTTTTTTGTGTCGTGTACTGGATTTTATGCAATATCTGTAGCTTGGGAAACCACCAGTACAGTTTACCCATTACATAGCATAATATCCACCAACGGCAATAGCAGGCAGTTCAGTGGTTGGAGACAGAACAGCTGGCATGGGAATGACTGAACCTCCTTGCCTTCAACAAAATTTCATATACTAGTTAAAAATTATATATTTTTTTCCCCTTTAAATAGCACACATGACCAGTATTTATAGTAATTTAAATCATCACACTTGAAGTGTTATTATAGCAGAACCTACTTTTACCTACATTGTTTATTAATTACTTGTATTTTCTCCCTGTCTGATCAGCAGTGTCAAAGTAAAAATGAGTGGTAACCCAATGCACCACCCTGCATTTTTGAGTTGCAGTAACACATGGTGCAATGCACATTTTGATGTGTGTTACTGCAACACAAAGATCTAAATCCGGCCTAAGGTTTGTTCCATCAAAAATTATCAGGGTTATTCACAAAAGGGTGAAGAGTTTTGGAGAAGGCAGGAGAAGTGAACAATCTAGGCCAAAATAGCCGAGCCAGAAAGTAAGCTGAATTGGAGAGTTTTTCCAAATCAGCTATGTTGTCCTAGATTGTTCACTTCTCCTGCCATCTCAAACTCTTCACCCTTTTATGAATAGCCCTGTATATATATATATATATATATA